CTTATTTATATTGGGTCTTTTATTTAATATTTGTACTGCACATAAATTTTGTAAGTTATTTTAAATAATATTAAAATATTCATGTCATTTATTAAATTATATTTAATAAAATTTGTTATTAAATACGATAATTATGAAAATATAAGCTACTTTATTAACTTCATGCCTTTTTTTAGTAATTATACATCCATAAGTGATTTAATAAATGACATGAATATTTTAATATTATTTAAAATAACTTACAAAATTTATGTGCAGTACAAATATTAAATAAAAGACCCAATATAAATAAATGAAAATAATCATAATTCTTAAAATCACTTATGTGCAGTACATAAGTGATTTTAATAAATGAAAACTAAAAATAATCATAATTCTTAAAATCACTTATAAAAAAAATATCCAAACAGAACTCGTAATTAATCAGTGTTACTTATAAAATTTGATTATCTAAAATTATAGTTATTTACAGCTAATCCAAATAGGCAATATATGAAGTTATAAATTAAATAAATTAATTTATAAGAAAAATGATAATTATATGAAATAAAGTAGATTAAGATATTATATTCAGAGAATCTTAATTAAATCCATTTGAAATATCAAAACTCAAATTAAGGTATACACTTTTAACAAATTCCTAATTAGGCCAAGAGGCCTTATTAGGAATTGTTAAATGTTGTTGAATGACTAAAATGCCTGAAAAACTTGACATTATATAGTATTTATTTATAAAAAATTTATACATAAGAAAATTTGGAAATATTAAGAGCAAAAAATTAACAATGCATAATATAATATTTTATACTAACTCTAAAATATTGATAAGATATTTAAAGGAACAGGAATTTTTTTTTGGTAATGGGAACAAGGAATTTTTAATTACTTGATTCCAACACTATTAAATTAATAATTTTTTGAAGGAAAAATTTTGTTCTTTTAGTTTTAAAAAAATCAGTTTTGACCCCAAAAAATAGTTAAAATGTATTAGTAAATTTTACCATCAAATTTGTCATTTCTTTTTTAAGTGCTTTGCTATATCTATTATATAGACGTTCTCATCGTGTTATATTTTATCATCTCATTACTAAAATTCATATTAATAATCAATGTAAACTTATACTAGAAATTTAAATAATTTTTCAACTGTTTGGTGAGATGGATGAAGTAATATAAACTAATTAATATAAATTTATAAAAAAAATTATATATTTTAGTCTTTTAACAATATATAGAGTAAGAATGCGTGAAGTTGATTGACCATCTAGTGGCATCTCAAGAAAAAAGAAGCCACGTCATAAATTGATGGAGGCAATTATCAATTTACCAACTTAAAGGGGCATTTTAGTCTTTTAACAATATTAGAAAATTCCTAATAAGGCCCTTGGCCTAAATAAGTATTTGTTAAAAGTGCAGGTCTTAATTTGAATTTTGATATTTTAACCGGATTTAATAGGAATTCTCCCTATTATATTTCATCTATGACAAAACCCAACTCCCAATAATATATTCAAAATATGAGTCATATTCAACTAACTTCGCATAAATTTAGGAAGAGAATTAACAGTAGGATAGATGATTCTATTAACCACCCCATAACAGAAAGTTGGCTTCTGAGTTTTGAATATGGAGAAGACCAGCAAACGTAATTGGTTTGGTCTTTGGAATGATAGGATCTTCATCCGTTTCGTCCTCGAAAAGTGGAGACAAGAAAGAAGATATTAGCCTCAAGATTTGGAGGATGCCTGGGTGGAGTTTTAATGTGAGAATATTTTTTTAATTTATAAAAAAAAAAACCCGAATGCAATTTTTTGTTGCTATGTGCCTCCCCCACACGGTGCGACGCCGCTTCCACTTGAACAGGACGAAGCCAGGATCCGCCCGCCGCAAGTTCAACAGTTTTTTTGTCATCATACTATTCCGGTCTTTATCATTATATTTTATGTTTTTACATTAAATTAATAAAAAATTTTAAATTTATTTTTATTAAATTTGTTTTCTGCATATATTTACAAGTCATTTCCGCAGCATTCTGCTTCCCCTATTTTTAGTAAAAATTAGATAAGAATAAAATTAAAAAAAATTATTAAATATCATACAAATGGCTTATATTTAAAGCAAAAAATTTCTCTTCAAATGATTTATAATAAATACCTTTGCTGAATATAAAAATTAGTTAAAAATTTAATTTGATTTTAAATATAAGACCTAATTTATTTGAGTTTTACATTTATTAATTTTTCTTAATATTTACAAATTAGTTATCTAATTCTCATATTAAAAATTGGATATAATTAGAATCAAAATTGTAGTTACCATTATACCCTTTATCAATGCTATAAGCTCAGAGTCACTCGAGCCATAAGCGGCGACCGCAAATGCAGCATTAATTCTTGCACTTTTTTCTGCTTTTTTTTTTTAAAAAAAAAAAGTTTTGCATAGCCGATCTGAAACTTTTATCGGTGTATACTGTACACTTTACATTTTATACACACATATCTTGCGTTAATTTTGTGTATAAAAAAATCTTGCGTTAATATGTATATATATTATAGCTTAGAGACATTCGATCAAAATTTTTAAAAATAATAATATAAAAAATGCATAATCTGAAGAGCATTGAAAATCTCTGTTGGGTTTGGTTCCAAAATGACGTGAGAATAGTTTTCAAGGTGCTAGCAAGACTCTTTATAATTGCTGATTAAAAATAAATAAATAAATAAAAGCCAGCTTTTCTGTACAACAACAACAATAAGTCTTATTTTATAAAGTGAGATCGGTTATATGAATCACATGATATTATTATGCTCTATCAACAACCAAGTCTTTAAATATGTTGTTGACCTGGATATCTTGTTCAATAATCCCATTAAGCAAGGCTTTCTATAATTTACAAAAAAAAAATTTCCCATTAATCTCTGAAATTCTTGATCACGGGGTTCTAAAAACTGAATCAAACCGCTCAGTTCGACTGGTGAGACGGAACCGGTCCAATATCCAATTTGGTTGATACATACTCTCAATAGTTTTTATAAGTTCTGAGTTAAAAAAATCAAGGAACAAAAAACCGGACCGGAGATTAAACCGGTCGAGACATTGGGTCAAGGGTTATTGGTCGGATCGTGATTGGACCGTGGTCAAACCGTTCATATTAAAATAATACAATTTAACTCTATTAAAATAAAACAAAATTTATAAATAATAATCATCCAAAAAATATAAGAAAGCACGAGTGTTAGGACACCAAAATTCAAATCATCTAAGCCAAGCACTAGGAGATCACACACGTCGGAAATCAAGCAATCAATCATATCATTCTAACACTTTTAAAAAAGTTTAAATGGAACAGCGCTATGTCATAGTCACTTACAGGCTACAGCTACTAGCCTGCTACGCATTTAAATTATTCACAGGAAATAGGAAGTATGGGCTTGGATTTTAAATTAACCGTTGTGGTTTCCCATGTTCCAGCAATTTTTTGATGTCATTATTTTTTCTTTTCTCAATGTGCAACAGTGAGCAGACTGACGGTATGGTATTGTTCTATCATCTCAATCACTTTCCAGTTTCTTCCTTCAACCGCTCTTTTACTTCTCTTCTTTACTCTCTTCGTCCTTCTCCATTTTTCACTTGTCTAGACAAGGAAAGAAAATAATGGAGCTTAGGGAGCAACAACTCGAGCATGGCCTTACCAGAAAAGAGCAACAGTAATGAAATGAGAAGTGGCTGAAGCTGAGAGCAATAGCGACGCAGGCAAGAAGAGAAGAGGAGTTAGAGTGACGACTTTCCAGAAAGAGGACAGCGATGGAGTTTTTCTGTTAAGGGATCTGGTAAGGGAAGGGAAAAAAAAGAAAACCGGTGACCCACCGACACAACGGTTTTTCCGGTTTTCACCGGTTTTTTCCGGTCCGTTCCGGTTCGATTTGAATCCGGTTCCTTCTTCAAACCAGACCGGACTGGAAGCCGGTTCACCGGTTTTCCGGTTGAACCGGCCGGTCCGGTCCGGTTTTTTTTTCATTGAAAAAAATTAGTTAAAATTAATTATTTAAAATTATCTTAATAAAAAATATTATAAAAAGCTTTATATTAATTAATCATATTGGGTTAAAAAAATTTCATATTTTAAATGAAACAGTATGTTGTCTTATAAAATAAGATTAATATAATTTTTGATTGCTCATATTTCAAAACATAAGTTTTAATGTCTTAATTTTCTTTCCATATAAAATATTAGTTTCTATAATTTAATAAAAATTGGAATCATTTTGGCTCTTGAGCTAGGATCCAAAATCTATAATATAAAACTTAAGGAATTAAAATAAAAATAAGTGTAAACTGAAGAGATAAAAAATTATATTAATCTAATTATATAATAATTAGGAGATTTTTGCAGTAAGGCCGGAGGGAGGAATATATACTGCGCGTAAATGTCCTCAATATAGATATCATGTCAATTCAGGGGGATTCAACTAGGCCTTGCTGTCAAGGCCCAAAAAAAAAAAAAAACTTGGCTTTGCTGTCTCGGTTATGGACGATTACTTCGGATTGGGGCAAAATAAAATACTCCCTTAATTATTGTAATATAAGACTTATTTAACCAATTTGATTAGATTAAGAAAGTTAAGTAAGTTAGGTAAGTTAATTAATTATAAAAAAAGTGACACATTTTTTCTAAAACACTATAATTATCTTTCTTAATACCTCATCTTCCTCTTTTACTTAATCATGGTTCAAGAAGTATCAATTAGGGTAATTTAGATAAAATTGATAAATATGATAAATGAGTCTTATATTTAAAATCAAAACTAACTTAAGAATTAGGTCTTATATTAAGGATTAGGAGAGTATAAAATAACATATCCTATGGGTTGCCCTGCACATCGAACCCAGGTGTTGTCAGGCCTGGTTCAATAGTTAATTAGTTATATAGATACACTATATATTCCTATATATAAGTTTTTTATTATTTGAGCTTGGCTAAATTTTTATATATATTTTTTCCAATTAGATTTCCAGAACCTCATCTGGCTTACGCTAATCATCTGGTATTACGCTTCTCTCTGTTCCCGGCTCCAGAAATATGGCCTTGCGGGGAACGGAGAACGCATACGACGATCCAAATCTTGCGGACAATGAACAAGAGGAATTCTCCGAATCCTTTGTTTGCTGCGTTTGCCTGTAAGTTTCTTTTTGTTATTGTGATTTTTTTCCCGGGCAGATAAAGTGAAGCATGTCCAGCCCATCTTAAGGTTGATATATCGTATGTCAATTTCTTCTGTTATAATTGAAAAGGGCCGGGGAATGTTATTTTTCGAAGATCAAGTTGAATTGATGATGATAATTTGGAAGTCAGATTTTTTTCCTTGCCAGTGTTTCAATTAAATAGTAGTTGATGAATGCGTTGGTTAAACCCCTTTCATTAAAAATGCTGTTACTAGAAGGGGAAGAAGAACTGGGAACGATTCTGATCCAGTGAAAGTTAGAATCTTTTAATTTTAATGCCGTGTATGGAAATGATGCTCTGGTCCCAAGTCCCTGTATGCCCCTCTCTTCAGCTGAGCATGCAAAGTTTTGACGACAAAATTAGTCCGGTTTGGACTTATTGAGGTTCTCTTAGTATTAATCACTCATTTCAAATTTACAACGTACGCCCCCTAACCCTCTGAAAACAGAAAGACTGAAAGAAAAGAGAACACTGAGGGCATCCCGGGGCTTCTTATTTTTGGCTGGATTCAACTTTAGCTGGCTTTTAGCCCTTTTACTCCATTTTTAAGGCTTTACATACTAAATCTTAGTCTACTTTGATCATGCAGGGATCTATTATACAAGCCCATTGTACTGTGTAAGTCAGCATTATTTTCATTGAGGAAAAATTAGTATTTTTAAATCTAATTACAATCCAACTTGTATTATTTTTCATTTTCAGCTTGTGGTCACATATCCTGTTTCTGGTGTGTCCATCAGTCAATGAGCCCCCTTTGTGAGTCTCATTGTCCAATTTGTAGGCATCCATATTATCACTTTCCAACAATCTGTTGGATGCTTCACTTTTTGCTTCAGAAGATGTATCCTGCTGCTTACAAGAGAAGGGGAATTCAAACTCTTGGTATGCTTTTGTCTACGGCCTTATGCATGAGCGTGTGTGTGTGTGTGTGCAGTTTGCCATTTTTAACTGTTGCTCTTTTTTTTTGGGGGGGGGGGTAAATATATCTTCTCTGAAAAGGAAAATATTGTTAGCAAGTAAGAGGGAGATAAAGTTGCGTCTGAAAATTATAGCACATTTGGTGCTATAGTAGATCCGTAGAATAGGTATGTTGCATGTACCAATAAGATTTAGTATTAAAAGCATGGGTAAAGCAGTCTTCCTCATGCCTCGCAGCACATATTCATGGCACCTTAAGAACTTGGAGCCCGAGTATGATATATTCTTTCCTTGTTGAATGTTTTGCTTAACTCTTCAACAAACTACATTGTTTGGAAGTTTCTTTTGGGCATAATTTCTTACCTTGAATTATCCAGGATAATTTCGAAAGTCATGATCGATAATGGCTCCCCTGTCAGTGGTCACAGAAACTGTTTTAGATATTGTGACTATCATTGAAATGGAAACTTAGAGCCAATGCCTTGATTGTACAAAATGCTTACTTCATGCCTAACTTTAAGGTCAAGAGGCTTTTATGTGAGGAGGCATGTTAAAAATTATAATAAAATCTATTAATAGACCTTCATTTGACATCTTATAAACTTTTGAGTCAAAATAGTTTTTGGCAAATCAAAAAGTCTTTTCTTTTGCATTTGTTGGCATGCAGCAAAAAGAGAAAACCTAAATGTATCACGTGTTTGAAGTGAATGTGTTGACTGTAAAGTCCAAGGAAGAGAACTTTCTGGAGGTCTAATTGTTGAAGCAGATTGCAGATCCATAAGTTTCTGCTGCTCTGTTTATTGGAGGCTTTTGTTCCACGTTTTATGTATACCCTTGGTTTAACTAGTAAAATTTTTTTGTCATATGTATACCTTTTTCGTTTAACATGTAAAACTCCCCCCCTCCCTTTTGTGTTATTCGGATTCTTGGTTCATCCTTGTATGTTGTTTGTAAACTTTGGTTTCCCCTCTTGCTGTGACTCTCTCTCAAGTACATTTGCATATATTATGAAAAGACAAGTTCTCGTTTTGTCTTTTTCTGGCCCAGTTTAAGGCAATGGTTTATATATCTCCTTTTACCAGAGGAAGAAAAGAAAGGGGGCTACTACTCTCCTCAATTTGATGGTGATAATCTTGTGTCAGAAGTCAAGTTTGATCGTCCAGGTACTTCATCTTCCTGCTATGCTGGAAATCTGGTTTCCAACCCGCAGAATGCCGGACTCTCTGCAAGTATGGAGCAATCAGGGTCTGAAACTCTAAAGCGACATAACGGAACCATCTGTTCTAAAGATGTTTTTGGTGGAACTCCTGAAGCTCTCGGGACTCCTGCTCAAGCAAAAGTGCTGCCTCAGACCGACCGGCAGCAAAAGATATCAGCTGCAGATGTGGTGTGTTCAACATGCAAGCAACTGCTTTTTCATCCTGTTGTTCTTAACTGTGGTCATGGTATTTATGCACAATATTTACCTCTCGTTTCTAAAATAATAAGACCATTGATAGAAAATCTATTCAGTTGATATATAACTTCTCTGCTTTTTCTTCATTCTCTACAGTATACTGTGAGTCGTGCATCAAGAACTCGACTGATGAGATGCTTAGATGCCAAATTTGTCAACTCCCACATCCAAGGGGATTTCCAAAAGTTTGTTTGGTGCTTGATCACTTTATAAAGGAACAATTTCCTGAGGAATATGCAAAGCAAAGAGATGCTGTTCAACTCAGGCATATCAACGATAAACCTGAGACCCCTTCTTGTATGTATCTTTGCCCGCTGGTTTTAGTATGTTTTGGTCATACAATGTTGAGTGAAGTCTTAAGGAAATCAACTTTCCTCCAACAAGCTTCTGGGATAATTGATCCTTCAAAATAAATAAAAATAGCCCATGCATAAAATATAGGGTAAATTATGTAGATTTCATGAACTAAGGTGACATCTATTATTGTTGATAGTTAAAGAATAGAAAACAGAAGTTGTTGTGATAGGCGGAATTGATTGTTATGATTTGGAAATCATTAACCGCCATGGTTTAGGAAGATGCATGGACTCTTCCAGTTGCTTTCTCCTCTCATCTTGTATAAGTTCAGATGCGGGCCATAACCATAGAGTACTTAAACCTCCAGCCTTTCTACTCACCCCACCCTCCTTTTTTTTTTTTTTTTTTTTAATTTTCATATCATTGAGTTTCTTCTTTTCAACTTTGTTGTTTTAAACTTCTGGTTGATGTCCTACTGTGTTTTAGCCAGCCTAGTAATTGCTACTCATCCTGATCCTTCCGAGTTTATTCCTGAGGGATAGCTTCTCTAAAATAATTAATTTCTATGTGTGTTGATGATGATTCTCACATTAACTTTTGTCAGATTTTTTTTTGCATGTGGGACTTTTTTCCCTTTTAATTTAAAGCCCTTTCCTTGAAAAATATTCGCACTCGAAATTTTTATTCTGGTCAGAGTTTCAGTCTCTTGTATTTTTTATTTTTTTCAGGAATTTGATTCATGGAATGTTCTGTGAACTAAATCATTTTTAATTTTATTATTCACTCCAATTTGGATGATTAAAAATTTATTCTTGTTTAATTTCTTAACCCTCTATTGTTATCATTTTATAAGTAGGTAGGGCGTAGGTTCATGCTTGACAAGTCTATGCAGAAATCTATAAATTCTTCTTTAGTCAATTCTTTTACCTGGACATCAGTAGTTAATAAAACAAATGCACATAGCTGGTTGTAGAGTTGCAGGCCTAGGTGGCTCTTCCTCCTAATTGTCCTTGTTTGTGAGCTTAAGTTGGATAGAAGTGCCCTATTTTAATGCTTCATTGTTGGGGTTTACTTTCATCTGCTTTCCTTGGATTAATTTGTTTGGATTTCTTGGTGAACATGTGGTGCCCTTGAGTTTTTTTCCTGTCATGATAAGTTTTAAAGGTCTTGGTTTGAATAAAGAGGCTTAAATTTTGTGGCAATGTGTGCTTTTTTGGCTCTTTGGTGTATTTAGTGGGTATGAGATGCTTGACATGCCCATTGTCTCTATTTCACTAGATAATGCGCTGTTTATGGCTTTTTCTGGCGTTTTGCTCTGCGTGCGTGCGTGCGTGCATGTGTATGTGTTTGACTGTCTTTTATTTCAATGTTTGGAGAACTACTTTTCCTTTTCCTTTCTGTAACAATTTTCCATCTTATAATTTTTCCCTTTCTTCCGAAATTTGATTCACTTTCGTGTTTCTTCAGCACCATTATTCCATCTTATTGGCATCTCCTAGTTACTCTTTAGCTTCTGCTTCCAGGTTCATTGAACAAGGGTGGAGGAGGAAAAGCAGCATGGTGGTCTGATCCTCACTCAAAAGTACATGTTGGAGTTGGTTGTGATTTTTGTGGGGTAAAACCTCTAATCGCTGCTTTCTTGAATTTGTGCTTGTATTTTTTTTTTCTTAATGTTATCTATATGTGGGGCTGTCTGCATGGAAATGAACGTTAGGCATTGTTACTAGTTGAAACTCTCTTTTGTTGACCCAGCATGGTTGTGGTCTTGTATACTATATCTTGCTCCAGCTGCAACAGTGTAGTTGTAACTTATTTAGTTCCTGATGTTATGAAATGACTGATGAAGACTACTGCTAGGATTCATGGTGTATGGATGAAGCCTATGGCTAGACTTTTCATTGAGAAGTTTCTTTCCTCCCATCTTTTTCGATTAAAGCTGTTCTTTTGGCTTCTGTTTGGGTGTTGGTTCATGAATGATGCTAAGGGGTTTGCATTGCAGACTTGTAGGGCGTTTAGAGAGCTCTTTTGATTTAATATTCCCTCAATGAGCTTTACTTTTTGTCACAGGAGGAGAATTTCCTATCCTAATTGTGTATGTTGCTTTGTGGTTTTTTTTTTTTTTGGGCCAAGGTGCATGTTGCTTTGTGGATTCTGCCGTTAACTAGTAGTTGAATAACACTTTTGCCCTTCAAGTTCTCTAAATTCCCACTATTAGTTTAAAATATTGTAATAACTCCTTACTTTTAAAATTTTTATTAAGTCCCTCTTAGTGATCCTTTGGCCGTTAAATTTTTGTGATGTGGCTGATAATATGTCATTTTGTTATTCTAAATATGCATGGTACAGTTAAAGACCATTATCTGATAATAGATTTCAGTATAATTCTTTTTTTCGGCATATTAGATATTGAACCTTGATCATTGGGCTACCCCTAGGTGGTTTTATTTTGGTTTTTAAAAGTATGATTTATATGGCTTTAATTGGTCCTTATCTAGAGTTGAAGCTAGATTTTCATAGGTTATGATATATTATCTTTCCTTGGGTTTTTCCGTTCTTTTGCAAAATATTATCTATAAATCATTGTTATTCTAGTTGGCTGCCTGGCTAAGCTAATTACTTAAGATCCCTACTTAATATGTCAGATTTGAATTTTTTTTTTTTTTAAATATAATACAAAGGCCATGGCAAGAAGCCATGCCGAAGGAACAAAATTAGGACATCAGAAATCAAAATGCCCCCCACCTTGATTCCCAACCCTGCCTACCCCCTTCTTTTTTTGGTTTCAGCCAGTTTCTTTGATACTTCTAGTTCTCTATTGTGGTAACATATGGCTTGTATGTTCAGATGTTTCCAATTGTTGGGGATAGATACAGATGCAAAGACTGTAAGGAGGAGATTGGTTTTGATCTTTGCGCTGATTGTTATAAAATTCGCAGCAAGATTCCTGGTCGGTTCAATCAGCAGCACACTCCAGATCACGAGTTTGAGCTTAAACAAATTAGCATTATCCATAACATAATGAGGCTGGTTACTGGACAGTTAGGAGATGGTTCCATTGAAAACTTGGCTATGGAAAGCTTAGGGTTTGGACCTGAAGGTCCCAATTTGGCTGTTGATGCTGATGAAGAACATGCCCAGAATGACTCCGAAGGCACCAATTGAAGAGTTGAATTGACAAAAATCCCATGTTCATCTGTTCCTGTTTTGGTTGGGAATCAGTCAATAGTTCATTTGGAAAATGAAAGTTGAGGAACCAGGAGTAAAATTGATCACAGCCTTATTGACTCTTGAGATCCCAGCTGAACATGCCCTCCATTCTGTGGTAGATTGCCTGACCTACCCCATCAAGCATTATTAAGATCCTCTAAAGTTTCAAGATTTACAGTGTATATTTTCAGAGGGACGCGAAATGAAGGAGACTTGATCGGTGGGTCTTATTTATGAGATGGGAATCCCATGTCAGTTGCGTTTCTCTTCAAAATTTACACACTTCAAGTTTCTTTTAAAACGTGAGGATCCAAAGTATGCAGACAACTTTGTTAACTTGGGTTTTGATGCTTAATGTCAGTGTCCAATCTGTTTGTATATGGCAACAAATGTTTGGGGATTTTCTGTTTTACTTGTGAGTTTGCCCAAGAGGTAAATAATGTTGAAGACTTGTGAGTCAACAATGTTATCGTATGGTTTATCTAATAACTGTTCTATAGGCACTTGTAGTTTGGTATCTTTGGATTCTATGATTTTCCAAATGACTATAAACTGTTCTCTTTCTTTGCTGACAGAATATGGATGTTTAGAAATCTGTTGATTTTGGTTTTAACCAAAGTGATGTGAGAATAGCTTGGTCAACTAATTGCAGGGTGCTTCCATGTAAAACTGCAGTGGTGGATGTTTGCCTTTTTATTATTAAAAAAAAAAAGGAAAAAAATGGTGACTTTACATTATGCACGTGGGAAGCAAGCCAATTTGTATACACAGTTAGCTTCTCTGAAAATATGCTGGCAGGTCTAAAACATCAAGAATTTTATAGGCTTGTTAATCAGAAGGTGGTAGCTAGAGTATTCTTGAACAAATATAGGAATGGTTTTCATAAAGTCATTGAATAAAATGACTTGTTTGCATCAAGGGGGCAGAATTCCTAATTCTTATAAGCTCGGCCAAGGTGTGAGGTAGGTATCCATGTTTTCTGATTAAGCGTTTCCACTTTTTATTAGGCTGCCACGTGTTTCCCCTCATAAGTAACCAAAGTGATTCGTCTGATAAATACGATCAAAATTGAGGAATATTTTTCAATTTATATTTTTATAAGGTGTTATTTGCAGAAGGATGAATTCTAATATGCTTGGCATAAAGCTAACAAAATGGGCATTCCTCAAACTGAATGAAAATTTGCCAAAATCTACTTTAATTTACGCTTTCAAAATTAATTTTTCATGTATCTTCTTCCATTATGCAAAATCTGGTAAGTAGCTAATTATCAGTGAGCGTTGGCAAACAAGAAAAAAGCTAATTATCAGTGGGCGCAAGTGTTTGTTTTCCGGAAGTTCTTGTGCCTTTGCAAAAGCGCAGCTCAAGCATATCATTAAGTATTCGATTTTATTTAGTAGAGATTGAACCACTTTAAGAAATTTCAAGTGTGAGCCTTCAAGATGTGGCAATGTTAAATATTTCACTACAGAAAATTGTCTCCTTTTTATGGTTATATCTAACTCAATTAAGATTAGTCTAAAATGAACTGTCAGATCAAGTTTTTGGCTAATATTGAAGTACTTAGAGCCTTTAAAAGTAATTTTTGAATTGTAATTTATAAAATATGAGGTAAGTATCAGACAAAAATTTTCTCATTTTATATAATAATACTTATAAATACTTAATAATAGTGATCCCAATTACAAGTGATAAAACGGGCCAGCCCACCGCGTGATTAAAAGTGATGTTTTTCACATAGACAACATCATATTTCCAGTGTGGTAACACAAGGCTTGTCTGTTCAGATGTTTCCAATTGTTGGGGATAGATACAGATGCAAAGACTGTAAGGAGAAGATTGGTTTTGATCTTTGTGCGGACTGTTATAAAATTCGCAGCAAGATTCCGGGTCGGTTCAATCAGCAGCACACTCCAGATCACGAGTTTGAGGAGATAGTTACCGGACAGTTAGGAGATGGTTCCATTGAAAACTTGCCTATGGAAAGCTTAGGGTTTAGACCTGAAGATCCCAATTTGGTGGTTGATGCTGATGGAGAACATAACCAGAATGACTCTGGCGGCACCAATTGAGGAGTTGAATTGACAAAAATCCCAACTTCATCTGCTGTTGTTTTGGTTTGGAATCTGTCAGTAGTTTATCTAGAAAATAATGGTTGAGGAAGCATGAGTAAAATTAAGTTCTTTGTTTTTTTCCCCCCTTTTAAACGTGAAGATCCAAAGTATGCAACATCTTTGTTAACTTATAGGCCTTGATGGTGAGCACAAGTGCTCAACTTTCAGGCCGCCAAGAAAGAGTTTGGAAAAAGATTTTTCAATTAATAAAACTAATTATGAAAATAAGAAATAAATCTAAACTTTTTTTTTTGGTATTTTTAATAAAAAGAGAATGAAAAATTTAAAATTGGATTTTAGCAAAACCTGTGATAAGAATGTTTCTTGAAAACAGAATGTAGTTATCTTTGCTTAATAGAAATATGGGAGTAAAATAATACACCAAGTTAAGCAAAGCAACTCCAAACACGGTTTGGGTCAAATAAACTTAATACTTAACTACTCTAAACGCTAGATAGTAGTCAAACTATTAAGCTGCCTTTAAAAATCACTTGATGTGCAATTTAAATTCAGTTAATAAAACTTGTTTCTCTCTCAAAGAATGCTCATAGAGATACTCAACTACAATACATCTCAATCATAGAATCTAACAACACGCTAGATAAAATAATTTTAATAAATGCAAAAGAAATATATAAATTTAAGTTCCAAGTAATACAACTCAAATTAAATCGTAAAAATCCAATTAACAGAAATTACAACGCATAATTTCAATCTCCAAATCAAATAAAAAATATTCTTAACACAAGAAAAATCTAATGAAATCCATGAGAAAATTAATTAGAAAACTAAATACTCTCCTAGTTGAAGCTCCGAGTTCAAGCCACTCCTCCATCTTCAAAGGGCACAATGGGATTAGCCTCTCTTCACTCTAACAGCATCTTCAATACGTTTGAGGTCTGAGGAATCCATGGAGGCCGAGTTGAAGGTTCTGATATGGAGGATTCTGCAGCAGAACCGAAAAAACGGTGAAGGCCGAATGATGTGAGGGAAGAAGAGAATAGAGTCGCAGAAGGGAGAGCGTTGAACGAGGGATGAAGTCGAAGATTTTGGAGGAAAAGAATGGTCAAATCTCAAGACGGTGAAATTGGATGGAATTGAAGGATGTGGAGTGTGTGCTTGAAGAATGAATGGCCGCGTGTATATGGCTTGGTGGCGTGCGGCGGGCGTATATGGGTATGAGGAGGGTATGAAAGTGGCGTATGAGTGTGGTGTGCGTATTGGTAACAATGTGTGTTTGGATAATATTTACTACTAAAAGGGTGTTTGAATATCCCAATAATCACTTTTCAAAAGCATTTTTTTTTGCAAATTGAGGCAAACTCCTCCATATATTTACTTCATATACCGTAAAAGCACCTCTAAAACCATAATTTTGATCTTATCCAAACACTCCCAAATGCAGTTAGTCTATTCCCTTCATTGATATGTTTAGATAGTATGGAGTCAGACATACTCTTATCATATTATCATATCACAGGATGCAATATCATTGGAGAGAATTTGCATGCAAATTTGTAAGCCGTCATAGATGACTAACAAGCATCATCTTCCTGGCTCTGAAGCATCTCAACAACTTGGCTCATGGTGGGCCTTGCATCCCTGTCTTCTTCCACACACTCCATAGCCACTTTAGCCAGAGTCTCCATCTTTCTCTTCTCAACCCCATACTCTGATACAATGGCTGCGTCCAGTATCTGCTCCACCCAACTGCACGACGTCGTTTTCTTCCTCTTCTCTCTCACCCATGTCAAAAGCCTCCCATTATTTGCTCCTTCGTCTTCATCAGTCCCAGTTCCCATCCTCGTCGGACTCCTTCCTGTTATCATCTCCAACACAACGATCCCATAGCTATACACATCCACCTTTGACGTTACTGGCAGATTAAAAAGCCACTCAGGTGCCATGTACCCCCTCGTTCCTCTTATAACTGAGAAATTTTTGGAGTTTTGGTCATTACGATTTTGAAGCTTGGATAAGCCGAAATCTGCTACCTTGGGTTGGTAATTTGAATCCAGAAGAATATTATGGGGCTTTATGTCACAATGCAGAATCCACTCTAGGCATTCTTCGTGTAAGTAGGCTAGACCCCTTGCCGTTCCAAGAGCGATGTTGTATCTTTTGGTCCAATCCAAAGTGTTTGATTTGAGATTTTCCGCTAAAGAACCTTTTCCCATGTACTCGTACACCAAAAGCCTGTGCTTTCCCTCTGCACAATACCCCCACATTTCAATTAAGTTCATGTGGTTAAGCCTACCGATTATGCTCACTTCAGCTAGGAATTCTCCTTCTTCTTGTTTGGCTCCAACGATGTTATTGTTCAGCTTCTTAATTGCTGCAATTCTTTGATCACCCAACACTCCTTTGTACACTATTCCACCTGAGCCTCTTCCAATTTCTTCTGTGAACCCTTTTGTTGCTTGTTTTAGCTCAGAGTAAGTAAATCTTTTAAACCCAAAAGGAGAGAGAAAATTGTATCCTTGTTGATTTCTACTAGAGTTTTGTTTTGTAATCAAAGAACACCAAATTGTAAAAATGAGAAGGACTTCAACCACCCCAATTGAGACAGCGAACCAAAGAAAGAACTTCACGAAACTACTGACGTGTCTCTTGGTATAGGCTCTTTCAAGCTTCACCGGGCAAACATTACCATTTTCTTGAGTTGGTTCTTCTTCTTCACGGAACAAAACATTGCTGCTAAGGGATCTTGGGAGTCTCAAGTAGGTCGCTCCTTCGAAACTTGGTGAATGATGACCGTTAAGCATAACTCTTTTCGTAAAGCATTGAAATAAGCCTTGCTGGTCCATTGTGTACTGAAACGCCTTGCAGTCACAATCATTCAAACAATCATCCTTACAATCATTAAAAGTGATGTTTTTCACATAGACAACGTCATACCCATACAGCTCAACATCGAACAATTTGAAGAAGGTAGACTCATTTTTATCACACGAGAGTTGAAACTTGGGTTCACAACCATAAGACCAATCGCTATGGTTCTTCACTCTATAGCCTGGAAGACACAAGCACTTCCTTCCTTCTTTAGGATCATAGATGCAAGTACTATTAGCACCACAAATTCCATGCACGATACAAGAATCAGATATGGCTTGCCACGTCACCTTCCATAGATTATTCTGCAGGCTGTACACTCGAATGTTTCCATCAGGATCTAATTTCAATCTTCTTTGTATCAAAGCCCCATAATCAGAAGTTGTGAAGTTATACTTGTCTGTTGAACTGAAACCTCCAATTGAATCTAACACTGCGATTCTGCTACTGTTATAGGTGCTTCTTCCAGCTTCCCAGCTCAAAAGCCATGGCGAAGGCCAATATTTGCTGGAGACATCGGGACCGTCGTACAAAAGGCTAAGAATGTTGTTGTCGTCAAAGAGAAACCTGTAGAAGCCAGATGATTGATTGGTTTCACTTCTGCCAGAGACAAGCTTTGTAAATCTTGTCAGTTGTTGTCCGGGAAGCAGAGTGTCTGTCGGGAAATCAAAGCTCTGCCATAGAATTTTGCTTCCTCGTATTGGGTTCTCGTAGAGTACTAGATTTCCATTGTTGTTAAGAACCAAGTGGGTCGGCAAAGACGAAACGGTGCCGGTCGACCACACGTTGAACTGTCCGGCATCAGAGAGGACAAGGTTTCCAGTTTTGAGAAGGGAAAGTGATGACCGTTTTCCGTTGACGGGTTGGTCACGGTTTGCTGTCCAAATGACGGTGCGGTTCTGGGTGAACCAAACGGAGAATACATAGGCGTTTTCACCAACGAGGTAAAAGCCGGCAGAGAAGACGCCGTTTTGTGACAGGATAACATCTTCTGGTTTCTCCACTGAGAGAGAGAAGCCACTGTTGAGTGATGAAGATGAAGAACATCGAAAAGACAGAGATAAGAGAAGAAGAATGTATAGGATTGAAGAAACAGCCATACCAAAACAGCAGGAAAAATGGGGTTTGATTATATCTGCGGAAGATGAACCATTGTGATCAGTGCCTTTATGGTTCGGTCTTCGGATGACATATATAAATAGACTCCGAATTCATTTCGTCTGCGAAATTGAGATTTGATCCTTAAAATTTGAAGTCAACGTGTGTGAATATTTGACTTTGATGTTCCTTGCTCTCATAATGTTCTACGTGGTTAATTATTTGTCTGCCCACGAGTTCCCTTGGACCACGTGGAAGAGCAGGTATTTATTATTTGCAGTATTAAAAACACAATTGTGTTTGTCCTCAAATCTTCTATTTAACATCATTTTGAACTGCATATGATTTTTTTTTTTAATTGAAGCATATGATATATTTAAATAATGGTATAAAAATATAAATTTTGAAATAGCATGTGTAATTTATATTTTCCCCCACATTTTATGACTATTGAACCGTAAAAAAAAACTTAATATAAAAACCGAATAGGTAAGATGCTTAACATGATAGTTCCCAAAAGGCTTTATTAATTAGTCAAAGTTATTTTAGGGATATTGGTTTTTTTTTTTGAGTTCAGACTCTTTTTCCTTTCCCTTCATAACTTATATTGGTCAAAGTTATTGATATTGATATTGTTTTCAATCTTGATGATGTCGATTGATTGACCATTTGATAAAGTAAAGGTATAAACAACAAACATTGATAATAATTGTTTGACACAATTACTTTTTATCTGATTACATGATGCTCCTGCTACACAAACATAATTCACTCTATACAATTTTGCTTTGAAATGGTTTATAAACTTTTCTATCATTATTTATTAAATATGAAAAGAATTTTATCTTGACTTATGTAAATGTATTTATAAATACTTGCAGATCGCAACTCCAAATAATTCTTAAAAGCACTTTAAAAAGTATTTTTACATAAATTGAGACAAAACTTTTTTACATACTTACTTGGTACATTATAAAATCACTTTTAAAAAATTAATCCAAACCCTCTCTTAGTGGAAAAGTCGCTTATTAATTGATATAAGTAAATTAAAAAAATAAACATAAAATAGTTAATTATAATAAATGTGATATCATCTTTATAAAATGTTTATGTAAGATTATATTATACTCAGAGTACATCAATTTATAAATTAAATAAATTAGTTTATAAGAAAAGTGATAGTTATAAGAAATAAAGTTAATTGAGATATTATATTTTATCTATAACAAAACCCAACTCCCAATAATGTATTCAAAATATGAGTCATATTCGACTAACTTCACATAAATTTTGGAAGAGAATTAACAGTAGGATAGATAATTCTATTAACCGCCCCATAACAGAAAAGTGGCTTCCGAGTTTTGAATATGGAGAAGACCAGGAAACGTAATTGGTTTGGCCTTAGGATGATAGGATCTTCATTCGTCTCACCCTCGAAAAGTGGAGACAAGAAAGAAGATGTTAGCCTCAAGATTTGGAGGATGTTTGGATGGAGTTTTAAACGTGAGAATATTTTAATTTTAAAAAAAAACACCAAAATACTTCTTTTTTACATAAACACCCGGTGTCCTGAGTTAGACCATCTTACAGGTATAACAATGAGCTCAAACGAATCCAAATCAAGACATGACAAAAACCATTAAGATTAGCGCTTCTAACTCCTAAGATACTGCATTCTCACTTCTCGAACATGAGACCCATGGTTAAGTTAAAACACTCCCAACCAGTTGATTTGATCCTCGGGTCACCCAAATACTCTTCCGGTCCTAAATATAAGACCCTTTTTGTGCATTCTCACTTCTCGAACATGAGACCCATGGTTAAGTTAAAACACTCCCAACCAGTTGATTTGATCCTCGGGTCACCCAAATACTCTTCCGGTCCTAAATATAAGACCCTTTTTGTAGTGTAATTTACACTAAATTACACTACAAAAAGGGTCTTATATTTAGGATTGGAGGAGTACTTCTTTTTGTTGGTACGTGCCCTCCCCTACACAGTGCGACGCCACTTTCACTTGAACAGGACGAAGCCGGGATCCGCCCGCCGCAAGTTCAACGGCTTTTTTTGTCATCATACTTTTCCGGTTTTTATCATTATATTTTATGTTTTTGCATTAAATTAATAAAAAAATTTAAATTTATTTTTATTAAATTTGTTTTCTACCTATATTTACAAATCATTTCCACAGCATTGTGCTTCCCCTCTTTTTAGTGAAAATTAGATAAGAATAAAATTGAAAAATAATTATTAAATATCATACCAATGGCTTATATTTAAAACGAAAAATTTCTCCTTTAAATGATTTATAATAAGTACCTCCGCTGAATATAAAAATTAATTAAAAATTTAATTTGGTTTTAAATATAAAACCCAATTTAACTTGATTTCTGTTTTTATTAATTTTTTTAATATTCATAAAACAGTTATTTAATTCTTCTGTTAAGAATTGAATCTAGCCAGAAGCCTAGAATCAGGGTAGTTACCATTATACCCCTTATCAATGCTCTGAGCTCACAGTCACTTGAGCTACCGATATAAAACTTTTATCAGTGTCCACTGTATACTTTACAGTTTATACATACATATCTTGCGTTAATTTTGTGTATAAAAAAAATCTTGCGTTAATATATATATATCTATATTATAGCTTAGAGACATTCGATTAAAATTTTAAAAAAATAATAATATAAAATTGCATAATCCAAAAAGCATCGGAAATCTCTATTGGGTTTGGCCCCGAAATAACGTGAGAATAGTTTTCAAGATGCTAGCAAGCTTTTCTATAATTGCTGCTCAAAAAAAAAATGGAAGCCTTTCTATAACTTACAAAAAAAAAAAAAGTTTCCCATTATCTCTGAAATTCTTAACCACGTGGTTCTAGAAACCGGATCAAACTGCTTGGTTCGACTGGTGAGAGTGAACCGGTCCAATGTCGAATTTTGTGATACATACTCTCAATAGTTTTTATAATTTCAGAGTTAAGAAAGAGTAGTTAAAATTAATTATTTAAAGTTATCTCAATAAAAAATATTATAAAAAGCTTTATATTAATTAATCATATTAGGTAAAAAATTTAATATTTTAAATGAAATAGTATATTATTTTATAAAATAGGAGTAATATAATTTTTTTATCCTTCAAATTTCAAAATATAAGTTTTGATTGCCTCAAGTTTTTTCTCTCTAAAATATTAGTTTTTATAATTTAATAAAAACTTGAATAATTTTTCTTTTTAAGTTAGGATCCAAAATCTATGATAAAAAATTTAAGAAGTTAAAATCAAAATAAGCATAAACATGAGAGATCAAATATTGTATTAATCTAATTATATAATAAATAGGAGATTTTTGCAATAAGGCCGGAGGAAGGAATAAATGCTGCGCGTAAATATCCCCAATGTAGATATCACGTCAGTTCAGGGGGATTCACCTTGGCCTTGCTGCCTCGGTTATGGACGATTACTTCGGATTGAGGCAAAAGAAAATAGAAAATAACATATTCTATGGGTTGCCCTGCACGTCGAACCCAGGTGTTGTCAGGCCTGGTTCAATGGTTATATAAATACACTACGTATTCCTATATGTAAGTTTTTTATTGTTTGAGCTTCTCTCGAAAGATCTTGCTATTGAGGATTGAAAGGCTAAATTTTTATATTTTTTTCCTGATTAGATTTCCAGAACCTCATCTGGCTTACGCTCATCATCTGGTATTACGCTTCTCTCTGTTCCCGGCTCCAGAAATATGGCCTTGCAGGGAACGGAGAACGCTTACGAAGATCCAAATCTTGCCGACGATGAACAAGAAGAATTCTCCGAATCCTTTGTTTGCTGCGTTTGTCTGTAAGTCTCTTTTTGTTATTGTGATTTTTTTTCCCCAGACAGATGAAGTGAAGCATTTCCAGCCCATCTTAAGGTTGATATATCGTACGTCAATTTCTTCTTTTATAATTGAAAAGGGCCGGGGAATGTTATTTTTCGAAGATCAAGTTGAATTGATGATGATGATTTGGACGTCAGATTTTTTTCCTTGCCAGTGTTTCAATTAAATAGTGGTTGATGAATGCGTTGGTGAAACCCACTTCATTGAAAATGCTGTTACTAGAAGGGGAAGAAGAACTGGGAACGATTCTGATCCAGTGAAAGTTAGAATCTTTAAATTTTAATGCCATGTTTGGAAATGAAGTTCTGGTCCCAAGTCCCTGTATGCCCCTCTCTTCAGCTGAGCATGCAAAGCTTTGACGACAAAATTAGTCCGGTTTGGACTTATTGAGGTTCTCTTAGTATTAATCACTCATTTCAAATTTAAAAAGTACGCCCCTCAACCCTCTGAAAACAGAAAGACTGAAAGAAAAGAGAACACTGAGGACGTCCTGGGGCTTCTTATTTTTGGCTGGATTCAACTTTAGTTGGCTTTTAGCTTTTTTACTCCATTTTTAAGGCTTTACATACTAAATCTTAGTCTACTTTGATCGTGCAGGGATCTATTATACAAGCCTATTGTACTGTGTAAGTCAGCATTATTTTCATTGAGGAAAAATTAGTATTTTTTCACTCTAATTACAATCCAACTTCTATTATCTTTCATTTGCAGCTTGTGGTCACATATCCTGTTTCTGGTGTGTCCATCAGTCAATGAGCCCCCTTTGTGAGTCTCATTGTCCAATTTGTAGGCGTCCATATTATCACTTTCCAACAATCTGTTGGATGCTTCACTTTTTGCTTCAGAAGATGTATCCTGCTGCTTACAAGAGAAGGGAAATTCAAACTCTTGGTATGCTTTTGTCTACGGCCTTATGCATGAGCATGTGTGCGTGCGTGCGTGTAGTTTGCCATTTTTAACTGTAGCTTTTTTTAAAAAAAAAAAAAATAAATTTAGCTTGTCTGAAAGGGAAAATATTGTTAGCAAATAAGAGGGAGATAAAGTTGCGTCTGAAAATTATAGCATATTTGGTGCTACAGTAGATCAGTAGATTTGGTATGTTACCCGCACCAATATGATTTAGTATTAAAAGCATGGGTGGAGTAGTATGCCTCATGCCTTGCAGCACATATTCATAGCACCTTGGGAACCTGGAGCTCGAGTATGATGTATTCTTTCCTTGTTGAATGTTTTGGGCATAATTTCTTACCTTGAGTTATCCAGAATAATTTTAAAAGTCATGATCGATAATGGCTCCCTTGTCAGTGGTCACAGAAACTGTTTTAGATATTGTGATTATCGTTGAAATGGAAATTTAGAACGTACTATTGCTGTCAATGCCTTGATTGTACAAAATGCTTACTCCATCCTTAACTTTAAGGTCAAGAGGCTTTTATGTAAGGAGGCATGTTAAAAATTATAATAAAATCTATTAATAGACCTTCATTTGGCATCTTATAAACTTTTGAGTCAAAATAGTTTTTGGCAAATCAAAAAGTCTTTTCTTTTGCATTTGTTGGCATGCAGCAAAAAGAGAAAACCTAAATATATCACATGTTTGAAGTGAATGTGATGACTGTAAAGTCCAGGGAAGAGAACTTTCTGGAGGTCTAATTTTTTAAGCAGATTGCAGATCCATAAGTTTCTGCTGCTCTGCTTATTGGAGGCTTTTGTTCCACGTTACATGTATACCCTTGGTTTAATATGTAAAATTTTTTTGTCATATGTATACCTTTTTCGTTTAACATGTAAAACCGTTTTTTTTGGTGTTATTCGGATTCTTGGTTCATCCTTGTCTGTTGTTTGTAAACTTTGGTTCCCCCCTTGCTGTGACTCTCTCTCAAGTACATTTGCATATATTATGAAAAGACAAGTTCTCGTTTTGTCTTTTTCTAGCCCAGTTTAAGGCAATGGTTTATATATCTTCTTTTTCCAGAGGAAGAAAAGAAACGGGGCACTTTCTCTCCTCAAATTGATGGTGATAATCTTGCGTCAGACGTCAAGTTTGATCATCCAGGTACTTCATCTCCCTGCTATGCTGGAAATCTGGTTTCCAACCCGCAGAATGCCGGACTCTCTGCAAGTATGGAGCAATCAGGGTCTGAAACTCAAAAGCAAAATAACGGAAACATCTGTTCTAAAGATGTTTTTGGTGGAACTCCTGAAGATTTTGGCACGCCTGCTCAAGTAAAAATGCTGCCTCAGACCGATCGGCAGGAAAAGATATCAGCTGCAGATGTGGTGTGTTCAACATGCAAGCAACTGCTTTTTCATCCTGTTGTTCTTAACTGTGGTCATGGTATGTATGCACAATACTTACCTCTCATTTTAAAGTTTTAAGATCATTGATAGAAAATCTAATTAGTTTATGTATAACTTCTGTGCTTTCCCTTCATTCTCTACAGTATACTGTGAGTCTTGCATCAAGAACTCAACTGATGAGATGCTTAGATGCCAAATTTGTCAACTCCCACATCCAAGAGGATTTCCAAAAGTTTGTTTGGAGCTTGATCACTTTATAAAGGAACAATTCCCTGAGGAATATGCAAAGCAAAGAGATGCTGTTCAACTGAGGCATATCAACGATAAACCTGAGACCCCTTCTTGTATGTATCTTTGCCTCCTGGTTTTAGTATCTTTTGGTCATACAATGTTGAGTGAAGTCTTAAGGAAATCAACTTTCCTCCAAGAAGCTTCTAGGGGAATTGATCCTTCAAAATAAATAAAAATAACCCATGCATAAAATATAGGGTAATTATGTAGATTTCATGAACTAAGGTGACATCTATCATTGTTGATAGTTAAAGAATAGAAAACAGAAGTTGTTCTGATAGGCGGAATTGACTGTTATGATTTGGAAATCATTGACCGCCTTGGTTTAGGAAGATGCATGGACTCTTCCAGTTGCTTTCTCCTCTCATCTTGTATAAGTTCAGATGCTGGCCATAACCATAGAGTACTTGAACCTCCAGCCTTTCTACTCACCCCACCCTCCTTTTTTTTTTATATCATTGAGTTTCTTCTTTTCAACTTTGTTGTTTTAAACTTCTGGTTGATGTTCTACTTTGCTTTAGCCAGCCTAGTAATTGCTACTCATGCTAATCCTTCCGAGTTTATTCCTAAGGGATAGCTTCTCTAAAATCATTAATTTCTATGTGCTGATGATGATTCTCGCATTAAGTTTTGTCAGATTTTTTTTTTGCATGTGGAACTTTTTTCCCCTTTAATTTAAAGCCCTTTCCTTGGGAAATATTCGCACTCAAAATTTTTATTCTGGACAGAGTTTCAGTCTCTTGTATTTCTTGTATTTCTTGTTTTTTATTTTTTTCCCCTCAAGAATTTGATTCATGGAATGTTCTGTGAACTAAATTATTTTTAATTTTATTATTCACTCCAATTTGGATGATTAAAGATTTATTCTTGTTTAATTTCTTAGCCCTCTATTCTTATCATTTTTTTAGTAGGTAGGGCGTAGGGTTCATGCTTGACTAGTCTATGCAGAAATCTATAAATTCTTCTTTGGTCAATTCTTTTACTTTGACATCAGTAGTTAATAAAACAAATACACATACCTGTTTGTAGAGTTGCAGGCCTAGGTGGTTCTTCCTCCTAATTGTCATTATTTGTGAACTTAAGTTGGATAGAAGTGCCCTATTTTAATGCTTCATTGTTGGGGTTTACTTTCATCTGCTTTCCTTGGATTAATTTGTTTGAATTTCTTGGTGAACATGTGGTGCCCTTCACCTTGGAGTTTTTTTCGTCATGATAAGTTTTAAAGGTCTTGGTTTGAATAAAGAGGCCTAAATTTTGTGGCAATGTGTGCTTTTTTGGCTCTTTGGTGTATTTAGTGGGTATGAGATGCTTTACATGCCCATTGTCTCTATGTCACTAGATAATGCTGTGTTTATGGCTTTTTCTGGCGTTTTGCTCTGTCTCTGCGTGTGTATGTGCGCGCGTGCGTGTGTGCGTGTGCGTGTGCGTGTGTGTTTGACTGTCTTTTATTTCAATGTTCGGAGAACTACTTTTCCTTTACCTATCTATAACAATTTTCCATCTTATAATTTTTCCCTTTCTTCCGAAATTTGATTCACTTTCGTGTTTCTTCAGCACTATTATTCCATCTTATTGGCATCTCCTAGTTACTCCTTAGCTTCTGCTTCCAGGTTCATTGAACGAGGGTGGAGGAGGAAAAGCAGCATGGTGGTCTGATCCTCACTCAAAAGTACATGTTGGAGTTGGTTGTGATTTTTGTGGGGTAAAACCTCTAGTCGCTGCTTTCTTGGATTTATGCTTGTATTTTTTTTTCTTAATGTTGTCTATATTTGGGGCTGTTTGCATGGAAATGAACGTTAGGCATTGTTACTAGTTGAAACTCTCTTTTGTTGACCCAGCATGGTTGTGGTCTTGTATACTCTATCTTGTTCCAGCTGCAACAGTGTGGTTCTAACTTGTTTCGTTCCTGATGTTATGAAATGACTGATGAAGACTACTGCTAGGATTCATGGTGTATGGATGAAGCCTATGGCTAGACTTTTCATTGAGAAGTTTCTTTCCTCCCATCTTTTCTGATTAAAGCTGTTCTTTTGGCTTCTGTTTGGGTGTTGGTTCATGAATGATGCTAAGGGGTTTGCACTGCAGACTTGTAGGGCGTTTAGAGAGCGCTTTTGATTTAATATTCCCACAATGAGCTTTACTTTCTGTCGCAGGAGGAGAATTTCCTGTCCTAATTGTGTATGTTGCTTTGTGTTTTTTTTTTTTTTGGGCCAAGGTGCATGTTGCTTTGTGGATTCTGCCATTAACAAGTAGTTGAATAACACTTTTGCTCTTAAAGTTCTCTAAATTCCCATTATTAGTTTAAAATATTGTAATAATTCCTTACTTTTAAAATTTTTATTAAGCCCCTCCTAGTGATCCTTTGGCCGTTAATTTTTTTGTGATCTGGCTAATAATATGTCATTTTGTTATTCTAAATATGCATGGTACCGTTAAAGACCATTATCTGATAATAGATTTCAGTATAATTCTTTTGTTCGGCATATTAGATATTGAACCTTGATAATTGGGCTACCCCTAGGTGGTTTTATTTTGGTTTTTAAAAGTATGATTTATATGGCTTTAATTGGTCCTGCTGGAGTTAAAGCTAGATTTTCATATTCCTAAGGTTATGATATTATCTTTCCTTGGGTTTTTCCGTTCTTTTGCAAAATATTATCTATAAATCATTGTTATTCTAGTTGGCTGCCTGCTAAGCTAATTACTTAAGATCCCTACTTGATATATCAGATTTGGTTTTTTTTTTTTTTTTTGGGGGGGGGGGGTTTAAATATATTACACAACCCATGGCAAGAAGCCATGCCGAAGGAACAAAATTAAGACATCAGAAATCAAAATGCCCCCACACCTTTATTCCCAACCCCAACCCCCCCCCCCCTTCTCTTTTTGGTTTCAGCCAGTTTCTTTGATACTTCCTAGTTTTCTATTGTGGTAACATATGGCTTGTATGTTCAGATGTTTCCAATTGTTGGGGATAGATACAGATGCAAAGACTGTAAGGAGAAGGTTGGTTTTGATCTTTGCGCTGATTGTTATAAAATTCGCAGCAAGATTCCTGGTCGGTTCAATCAGCAGCACACTCCAGATCACGAGTTTGAGCTTAACTCAGTGAACATGATCCATAGCATAATAACACTGGTAACTGGACGGTTAGGACATGGTTCCACTGAAAACTTGCTGATGGAAGGCCTAGGGTTTAGACCTGAAGATCCCAATTTGGTTGTTGATGCTGATGAAGAACATGCCCAGAATGACTCTGAAGGCACCAATTGAAGAGTTGAATTGACAAAAATCCCATGGTCATCTGCTGTTTTTTTGGTTGGGAATCAGTCAATAGTTCATTTGGAAAAGGACAGTTGAGGAACCATGAGTGATGATCACAGATAAGGACCTTGAAAAAAATCAGAATTAGTCTCAAGGACAATAAAACTATTATTAGTTACAATTTGATCTTGTGCATGTTACCAGAGTGTTTATATTCAATGGTAGTGACAATTTTAAACATCGTTGTAAGATTGAAAAGATCAAACTATAATTTTAGGAAATACCGCTGATAACATCAGGGAGCTATTCAAATGGTTCTTGAGATTTTTTTTAAATAGTTTTAAGGTTTGTAATTGTTAATATTTTGCTTCATGGCTTTCTGCAAGGAAAGTCATATATCTTCATGATTTGTACTACCTGCGTGAGAGTTTGCTTCATTTCACAGCCTTATTGACGCTTGAGATCCGAGCTGAACATGCCCTCCATTCTGTGGTAGATTGCCTGACCTATCCCATCAAGCATTATTAGGATCCTCTAAAGTTTCGAGATTTACAGTGTATATTTTCAGAGGGACGCGAAATAAAGGAGACTTGATTGGTGGGTCTTATTTATGAGATGGGAATCCCATGTCAGTTGTGTTTCTCTCTTCAAAATTTACACACGTCAAGTTTCTTTTAAAACGTGAGGATCCAAAGTGTGCAGACAACTTTGTTAACTTGGGTTTTGATGCTTAATGTCAGTGTCCAATCTGTTCGTATATGGCAACAGATGTTTGGGCATTTTCTGTTTTACATTTGAGTTTGCCCAAGAGGTAAATAATGTTGAAGACGTGTGAGTCAACAATGTTATCGTATGGTTTATCTAATAACTGTTCTATAGGCACTTGTAGTTTGGTATCTTTGGATTCTATGATTTTCCAAATGACTATAAACTGTTCTTTTTCTTTGCTTACAGAATATGCATGTTTAGAAATTTGTTGATTTTGGTTTTGACCAAAGTGATGTGAGAGTAGCTGGGTCAACTAATTGCAGGTTGCTTCCGTGTAAAACTGCAGTGGTGGATGTGTGCCTTTCCATTGTCATTAAAAAAAACAAAAGGAAAAGAAATAGTGACTTTACATTATGCACATGGGAAGCAAGCCAATTTGTATACATATTAGCTTCTCTGAAAATACGCTGGCAGGTCACAGTCTAATAAACCATCAAGAATTTTATAGGCTTGTTAATCAGAAGGTGGTAGCTAGGGTGTTCTTGAACAATTATAGGAATAGTTTTGATGAAGTCATTGAATAAAATGACTTGTCTGCATCAAGGGGGCAGGGTTCCTAATTCTTATAAGCTCAGCCAAGGTGTGAGGTAGGTACTTATTCATTCTTTAATATAAGACCTATTTAACTAATTTGATTAAATTAAAGAAGTTAGGTAAGTTAGTTAGTAATAAAAAATATGACGTTTTTTCTAAAATACCATAATCATCTTTTTTAATATCATTCCTCTCTTACTTACTTGATTATGGTTAAGAAAGTATCCATATGGGTAATTTAAAAAAAATTGATAAATATGATAAATATATTTTATATTTAGAATTAAAATTAATTTAACAATTAGATTCTATATTAAGCATTGGAGGAATATCCAAGTTTTCTAATTGAACGTTTCTGCTTTTCATTAGGCTGCCACGTGTTTTCCTCGTAAGTGGCCAAGGTGATTCGTCTGATTAATACCATCAAAATTGAGGAATATTTTTCAATTTATATTTTTATAAGGTGTTATTTGTAGAAGGGTGAATTCTGATATGCTTTGCATAAAGCTAATAAAAGGGGCACTCCTCAAACTGAATGAAAATTTGCCAAAATCTACTTTAATTTACGTTTTCAAAATTAATTTTTCATGTACCTTTTTCCATTAGGCAATTATCAGTGAGCGTTGGCAAAAAAGAAAAAAGCTAATTATCAGTGAGCGCAAGTGTTTGTTTTCAGAAGTTCTTGTGCCTTCGCAAAAGCGAAGTTCAAGCATATCATTAAGTATTCGATTTTAATTTGTAGAGATTGAGCCACTTTAAGAAATTTCAAGCTGTAAGTCTTCAAGATGTAGCAATGTTAAATATTTCACTATAGAAAATTGTCTCCTTTTTATGGTTATATCTAACTCAATTAAGAGAGTCTAAAATGAACAGTCAGATAAAGTTTTTGGCTAATATTAAAGTACTTAGAGTCTCTAAAAGTAATTTTTAAATTGTGATTTATGAAATATGAGATAAGTATCAGACAAAAAATTTCTCATTTTATATAAAAAATTCTTATAAACATTTAATAATAGTGATCCCGGTTAAAGGTGGTAAAACGGGCTGGCTTGCTGGTTATGGGTCAGCCTGCCACAGGCTCTAGACCATGCTGGCCAGTCCTAAAAAGACCGCCTCCTGGCAGGCTCCCATTTTGTCAGCTCGCGTCACTAACTTCCATCCTTTTTTTTTTAAATTTTTACACATATATTTAAAATTTTTTAAATTAAATTATAAATTTTTATAGACCAAATTTTTCTTATTCTTATATTTTCATATAATTATATAATTAAATTAATCTCAAAAGTTGAAATATCAACATATAATTTATTATTAATAATTATTTTATTAGCATAAAAATGGTAAAACAATAAAGAAAATGAGAAATCAAATTTAGAATCAAAATCTCTAAAAAAAAAAATATAAAGTTATATGTAAATTAAGTGAACATGATAAAAATATTTCTTATTAAAATAAAAATAAAAATTGTGAAAAATATAAAAAATGGCTAGCGGGCTAGCCTGCTGGTTGGCAGCTCTGTAACGTGTACAGGTTGAAAAGGGTTATATTAAAATAGTTTTTATTTTTTTCAACCCAACTCACTGCTTTACTTTATAACAGGTTGGTGGGTTAAACCTACCGATTCTAATCCCGATATGATACACGCATGAAAGGGAAGTTTTATACTCCAACGTAAATGTATTTGTTGTTTCCAAACAACCATGGAAAAATTTAAGCATAATTAAGAGTGCATCCGTGTGGCGCCAAATCAGTACCAAATTAAGGCAGACTAGCTCAGACCATAGCAGGAGAGCGTGGTTGCATCTTGCAAAATGACAGAAGAAAAACAAAAGGTGTATGATTGGACTCTGAATTCTGATGTGGCAGGGCAAAGATGGCAAATCCCTTCCATTGGCCAATGATATTAGTACAAATAATACCTTTGGAAAAAACCAGTCTCGGGCCAGCTCCTTCCACAACATATCCCCACCAGGCTGTAATTTCAGCTTTTGGATTCTCACCACTCTCATGGGGTTTGATTTGACATTTGATCATCATTGGAACATTTTGCATACTCCAGTGTTCATATCATTAATGCTCTGACCACAGTAAACGACGTGGAACTGGACAAGCATGGAAAATTTTCTCCAACATTTGTTGGGAAAACATATAGATAATTGGAAAAATAGTTGAAAAACATCCCCCAAATAAAAAAATTATCAATAAGGACTCATAATCAAAGTACTGAAAACCGGACCGGTTACTAAACCGGTCGAGACAATGGGTCAAAGGTTAGTGAGTCAAATCGAGGTCAACCCGGAGTCAGACCGGTATTAATTAAAATAACATATTCTCAAATTTATATTGGTTATTTTAAATAAAAATAGAGTGAAGATATAAAAACAAATGTCAAATAATAATAAACATAATATTTACACATAAAATTAATATGTGACTTATTTTGTAATTATAATAATATATATAATATTTGTGTGCTGTATAATACATTAATTATATATAATAAATAATACTCCACTAAATCCTTTCCCAATTTCAATTGTGGTTTCATGTTTTATGTTGATGCCTCATATATCTTTATCTGGGAAATATAAACCGCATTGTTAGCAATTAATATATTTTTAATATTAATTTAATTTATTTCAAATTTTATTTTGCTCTCTCCGTTATTATTATTTCCAAAGCATCTCACGTTTTTTGAAGTCTGAATCATTAATCAAATCACATCACTCACTCTATGAAATTTGAATACTCACCAAGCTTTTCGTTTTGCAATTATTTTCTTTTCTCCTTCCCCTTTCTCTCTTTCCTCTTTCTCCATTTGTTTCTTCTCTCGTCTTTTTTCGTTTCAGATGCTCCTCTTCCTTTCTTCGTTTTCATGCCTCCACAGTACACACTTCCTCACCTTCGTTTTAGATAAACTCAAAGGAAAGGAAATAGATCAAGGTCAACTGACTTGTAGTTGCAACGGAAAAAAGGTAAACTTGCAGAGCGGGAGGCAGGCAGAGGTCATTTTTTTATTTCTATGTTTCTTCTTCTTCGCTCCATATCCTCCATCTGGTTTATTTTTTCAAGTCACCGGGCTAAGCCGTCCAAACCAGCGGGTTTTTCGATTTACGCTCGGTTCATGCCGAGTCAGAACGGTTCACACCGGTTTAAAATTTTTCCGGTCTAGATGAGAACCGGACCGGACAAGCGGCCGGTTGGCCGGTTTCCGACCTGAACCGGCCGGTCCGGTCCGAGTTTGCAAACATTACTCATAATAATATTAGTATAGGTTTTTGTAACAATAATATAGGTTTTGATAATGAATTTTGTAAATGTGTCTCTGCATGCAATTTTTCTATTTTAGTAATTTTTTTTAATGATTTTTCCTAAATAATATTTTAAAATATTAATATTCTTTTTTTTGGTAGAGAAAAAACATTTTACTAGAATATTAATATTTTTAATATAAATATTCTAGTAAAAATATTTTAGTAATATAAAATATTTTTACTAAAAATATTAATATTCTAGTAAAATGTTTGTATTACTTTAATAAAAAAAAATCTCAGAATTCATCCTGAGTTTGGAAAAACATGACAATGTGTGCAAGCATGTAACATTGCAAGGGGTAGACTCAAATGGAGAATTGGTAAAGATCTTCCATTCCTCCAAATCACCTAGGCTTTGGAATACAACTGTTTGGAAAAAAAACCTTATGTACCTTCCTCTGTTAAACTACACGCATTTGCAGTTTACTTGTTTCTCTCACAAAGTTCTCTAACCAACTTCATTGGGATGGCAGTTCTGCTAGAAATTACTAAGTGAAAAATGGATTGTCTCCTAACATCAAAAGTCTCATCTAAATCTAATATCCCCCTCGTGGATTCCTTTTGAAAATTCTTATGGGGCATCTCTCTCCCATTCAAGCATTTACTTCACAATGCTATTTCATATGTTGAAATACTCAACCACCATCATCCAAATGCTTTTACCTCTTCAATTGCAGTGGGGAAGAAGCACTTGAGCATCTCCTCCTATAATCTCCTTAAGCTAGATCCCCAAAAAAAAAAATCATCTCCGTTTTTTAATATAAGAGTTAGTTGACTAATTTG